TAGCTTGTGAACCCAGGCTTAATCAAAAGTGGAGAAAATCCAGCAGAATCATTTCGAAATTTTATCTGACTAGCCAGCTTGCTGAGTTTTTTAAAAATCCAGACTCACATCTGTATGCCTTTTATTGTATTTGCTTACCCCACTGCACTGGCTAGGACTTCCAGGACTATGCTGAGTAAGAGCGGTAAGAGTGAACATCTTTGCCTTGTTCCCATTCTTAGGGAGAAATCATCTAGTCTTTCCCCATGAATTATGATGTTCGCGGTCAACTTGTGGTTTTCACTCCTGGCCAAGTATCAAAGAGCAAGCTCTTTGAACAGAAAATTTAATGGATTACAGATATCAGAGTTAAAAGAAATTGTGTCATTTTTGCCTACCTCATGTCTGCCCCTTTTCCTCATATGATTTTCCCTCTGGGGACACCAACCTTCCCCAGCCATTTACACAGTTCTAGTGCAGCCGGCAGGAGAGTCAGATCCGGTCAATTCATCTTTCCCATCCTCTGCTCCAAGCATTTAACCCACTAAAATTCAAATTTGGGACTTTTTTGGAATTACTGGGCAAAGTTCTCTTTCTACTAGACTTAAAGGTCAGGGATCAACACACTATGGCCCACGACTGAAACACAGCCTTCTACCTGTTTTTTTAAATAAAGTTTTATTGAAATGCAGCCATGCTCATTTATTTACATATTGTCTATGGCTGCTTTTGAGCTACAGAAGCAAAGGTGAGTAGCTGCAATAGTGACCACGTGGCCCCCAAAGCCTAAAATACTTACGATCCTGGCCCATTACAGAAAAAGCTTCCTGGCTCCCTTTCTTGATAATAAGATGTAAGCCTGAAGCAGTTAGAAAGCACATCACCACTACATAAAAAGAACCTGCTGGAAAAGAAGTCAAAAGAAGAAACCAACAAAACAAGAAGAAACCAACTCCATATATTATGGAAGTTGCTGAATTCAGATGGGACAGACTGTTAAACCCCAATGTTTTTCAGTTATGTAAGCCAATAAAGGTAGCTTCTTCTCAGACAATTGAATTCAGTCTCCTTCATTTGAATTCAGATTCATTACAAAGAGAAAAATCATAAAGCACACTATGGAGACAACTCTAATTTCTTCCTCCATCATATATCCATCAATAACATAAAGACATTCGACATTTCTTTAGACTAGAATGTCACTAGATGCTAAAAACGATAATTTCTTTAACAATTAGCTAAAGTATTGTAAAAATTAACTGGTTCAGGGTTCACTCAGGTTTTTTTTTCTAACTAACCATCTTGAGGTTTTATCAAACAATGAAAGAACAGAAAGAATGGAAACAAAAAGTACCTGTCCCTCCAAGAAAAAAAAAAATCCAGCACTGAATAATCAATCACAGAACAATTGAGCTGTAAGTATAAAAACAAAAGAAAGATGCTGCCATTAACATCTCCCTGAAATACTGGGAATACTCCAAGACCAGCCAGAGAAAGAGGTTTCTGCGTCCTTACCAAAGCCAAAATCCCCAAGAGGACAGATTTAACCAATTAGGGAGATGGTGATTAAAACTGGAGCTGCTAATTGTCTACTGGGTGTACAGCCCCAGGAATGTTCCCTAGAGGCCCTCAAGAACGGGAGGCAAAATGAGGCCTAACACTCCTGCTGAGAACGCAGTCATCATTTGCCCTGTATTTCTCTCTCTCGTTAGGAAACTTAAAGGCACACGGAGGTCTGCTTCTCAGTGCAAGCTATACGATCCTGTGAGGAAATAATTTGATATTATGAGTAAGAAAACAATTATTTTGTGAAACACTTGTTTCACTGTGCACATTCTGGAGCAAGGAAATGTTTCTCTCGACAGCATGCTTTCCATCCGCACAGGCCAGATGCTAATCTACGGGAAAAGTGAAGCAGTTTATTATAAAGATACCCAGTATATGCAGACAGAGGACACACACTGAGTGGTGGGAGAGGGAGGAGGGGAGGCTTAAAAAGCAGTTGGTAAAGCGGGTTTAGAACTCCGGCTTCTTGGAGGAGAAACATACACACAGAGCAGTAGTGAGTTTTCCACTCATACCAAGGAGAGTCTGCCTCGACAGGAATGTGCTTCCTCCCCTACGAATTGAAGAAACATTGAAGAGGGTCAGAGAAGGTACTGTGAAAAATGAACTGAGTGAGGATTCTTAGACAGCAATTTGACATTTTATCTCTATTAAAAATGAAAACAAAATGCATTTGAAGCCAGGCGTGGGCTTCAATTCTAGCTTTGCCACTGTGGTGGAAACTGTTATTCACCCAGCAGTATCTGTGTTCTTCTTCCTTAAAGCGCTAAGATGCCCTGGGCACCGGCTGAGCCAATGGTTGCAGACGCTCAGCCTTCTTTGTAGACAGACGTGGCCACAAAATGGTTTGGGGGCCCATGAAAGTAATGTGTGTACCATCTGGGTCCCACATGTTTTCATCTGGCTGGAAAATGGAAATGAATGGAAGAACGTGGGAAGCCATGGGGTGAGGATGGCAGAACGACCCTGTTGGGCACAGACTGCTCACTTATGGGCTCGGAAACAGTAACTTCCATTTTATTTAAGCCACTGTACTTTGAAGTCTCTGTGTGATAGCAGTCCGGCCCGTGCCCTACTAATATAACCACTTACTATCTGTGCAACATGGGGCAAGTTATTGAACCTCTTCTAAGCCTTGGTTTCCTCATCTGTGAAATGGAACCATAACACTTCCTTTGTAAGGTACTAAGAGGAATCAGTGGGTTAAGAGATGTCATGTACCAAAACTGGGCCTGACACAGAAATAAGTGCTCAACTAATGGGAAGTGATAACTGCAAAGATATAAAGGTCTACTTAGGAAGCTGCTTTCAAAGGCCTCTGACATCACACAGCTACTGTGCCCACAAAGTCCTGAACGTAGAGAAGCCTGTCTGCTCTTGGGAGAGCTTCTATCCCAAATAACGTATTCAGGGAAAACCAGGGGTCTCCTGTATTTTTAGGCCAGGAGAAGAATTAAGATTAAACAATGTTTAAATAACTTGCTTAGCAAACTGTGCCTAAATCTTTAAATGGTTCTTTAAATCTTGCTCTATATTTTTTTTCAGAAATGAAGACAGCATTATTGATGTTGCAGATATCAAAAGAATAATAACTGAATACTATGAACAACTCTAGGCACATAAATGACAACTTAGATTAAATGAACCAATTCCTTGAAAACCTCAAGTTGCCACAACTCATCAAGTATGAAATAATTAGAATAGCCCTATAGCTATGAAGGAGATTGAATGTGTAATTTAAAAAACTCCTGAAAAAGAAATCTCCAGGCCCAAATGGTTTCACTGGAGAGTTCTACCAAACATTGAAAGAATTAACACTTACTCTACACTATCTCTCCTAGAAAATAAGAGTAGGAAGGAATACTTCCCAATTCATTTCATGAAGCCACTATTAACACAGTACCAAACGAGACAAAAACAGTCCAGGAAATGATAATTACATTTAACATCCTCATGAACATACATGCAAAAATCTTCAACAAAGTATCGGTGAAAAAACAGCAATGTCACGACCCATGACCAAGTGTGGTTTATTCCATGGATACAAGGCTGGTTCAGTATTTGGAAATCAGTGTAATGACGTATTAAGAGGCTAAAGAAGAAACATCACATGATCATATCAATTGATGCAGAAAACCTCTGGGCAGAATTCAACACCCATTTAAGATAAAAGAATCAGAAAAACAGAAACAGAAGGAAGCTTCCTCACCTGAATAAATAGCATCTAAGGAAAAATAAAAAGCTAACACTTAATGTGAAAGACAGTGCTTTCCCCCCTTTTTTGGTAGCCATTGTATTTATTTTTTTAATTTACATATATGTACTGTTCATTGTTTCTAAGAACAGCTTAGAGCTTTAGCTTTGTAAACTTGCATATATCTTGCTCTGTATTATTAACTGTTATGCAAACACTAGTTATTTGTTTATGCTCAGTTGACAGTGTGCTGAGTTCCATGTCTGTATACAAAAGAGCTGAGTAGAAAAGGACATGAAATCAACAAAGATCAGCGAACCAGGGTACGCTGGGAAAGAGACACGTGAATGAACTGGAATCATCTAGACCGGATACCCTGTTTCATGCAGACAGTTCTACAAGTCAGCAGAGGCCGTGTCTCACGTCCCTTGCACACATTTCCCCCTTTTGACAGGGCCTCTGCAAGTGATCACTACTGACCCTCTGACGGCATTGATTCTTTTTATCATTTACTGGTGGGACATGGTTAGACTCTACTCTTAAGATTTCTGTAACCTTGAGATCTGCTGATCCACTGGAGTTGAGATCCCTGGCATCAAATTAAGATGATACTCTGCCTCCAGGGACTTTTCCCCAAGGCTCTTACGTGGGTTGTACATGTCACGAGATGCAGAACAACCACAAGATTACATCACCCAGGAAGAGACCAGCATCTCTGAAATGGGAGCAGGGATCACATTATTAAACATACGTCCTTTCATGGACCCTGACGACCCCCTTGCTTATAATGGGATGTGGGCGAATGACGGCAATGGGAGGCCGAACCAGAGGGCGACGAGAAAAGACATGGCACCATCTGCACACACTGTTACATTCACGTATCCCATTAAAATGGATGTGAGGTAGCGCTCTGCACCCTGCTTCATGGAGGCACCAATATACATGCAGTGAGCCAGACTGGACTCTGCCTCCTCTTAAGACCGCCGGGCACTGCCATTGCCTTGGTGAAGGCGGGGCTCTGGCGTGGTATCACACTGAACCCACACCTCAGACTGAGAGGCCAAAGCCCAGGGACTCCCTCCACACAGAAGCAGTATTGATATCCACAAGCATCAGCCCAGGAATGAAAAAGACCCTTTGATACATTGGTCTCAAGAGCCCAAGGGTTTATTTAGAGCTACAGCAAAACTCACGGCACTAAGGAAACAACAGAAAATAAGGGACCTTCACTCTTGCTCTGCTTCCCTGAACTGTTACTTACGGGTTCCCTGCCATCCATGGCTTCCATCCAGAGCCTCCGGTCCTCTTCAGACAACGCCTGCATGGTGATAACCCCTGGCCTGCAGAGAAAGGAGGACAGGGATGTGAATCCAGAGCCACAGGCACAGAGACCATGATGGAGGTGAGCCTCGAAGAAACACTCAGGCGACCAAGGGAGAGGCTGCTGGGGTTGGTGAGACACAGAGAGGCCCAGCCCTCCACTGTCCGGAGCCCCCTTCCCATCTCAGAAAGCAAAGCCGTCGCCCCAAATCCCTCTCAATGAGCCCGTCTCCCTCAGGGAGGCAGGAAGCGACACAGAAGACAGGACTCTATTGCAGGGAAAGGACATGGGGAGCAAAGGGATTCCTTTACGCTTGTTTGTTCCTTGAGATCATATTCATTCCTTTTCTCCAAAACGCTCACCAGAGCACCTTACTCCTGGCAGGAGAACAGTAAACACGTACCGAAGTGAAGCGAATTACTGCACTGGATAAAAAGAGGAGCAAACATCCAAACTGGAGGGACCCCGGTCTATCATCCAGTCCAATGCTTCTAAACTGCTTTTGGCACAAAAAACCTTTATGAGGGTAATGGGTGTTATAGTTCTGATTATATGAAATGCAAACAGTATTTTTTAAGTGAACCTTTGCCATGTCAGGTGCTAAGTTCTTTACCTGCATTAGCTCTTTTCATTCTCTCCTTGGAATCTGCTTGCTCCTTCAAACTGAGTACAAACCCTCCAGAAAGCACAGCTACAATATCGAATGGTGTCTGCTGTGTTCTCGTCACAGATGCCACACAAGTAGAGGTGTGTGACGTAACAACGAACTTGGGAGAAGGGGCTACAAGCCCTCGAGGCTCCCTAAAGCAGAGGTTCTTGACTTAAGACTCACAGATGGGCCCCAGAAAGTCCATAAGCCACCCTCCCCCCACCCCAAATGTACATGCATTGTTCCGTACAAATGAAACTGTCTATCAGGTTATCAAGGAAGGTCATGACCCACAAAATGTTAAGGATTGCTGGCTCAAACCCTCATTTTAAAGGAGGTTTAAACTTGAAAAGTTAGAGAACGCCTAAAAGGGAGGCAGAGGTCCACTGAGTGAGAACTAATCAGGGTCCGATTACACCCGAGTCCACAGCACTGCTCAGGGTCACAGGGGAGCTCGGCACCGACACACAGGAGCTCAGCGATGCCCGAGCAGCAGGAGCCCAGACCCGCAAGCACTGCTGCTTCTCAGAAATTCACATTCTCAGGCCCAGGCGCCCATTTCCCACCAGCGTCAGCACATCCAGCGCATCGGGCCCGTGGGGTGTCTACAGACTGTCGGCAGCCCTGGCCCCACCGAGCTGACCCTGTGGCTTGGCGGCTCAGTGGACTGATTCTCCTCTTCAAGCATCTTTCAAAGAGCCAAGCACAAAGCTATGACGGCTTTGAGATTACAAGTCTGTAATCCAGTAAGTAGACTGCAGAGAACTACTGGAGAACTCTCCAGTCCCCGGGCTCAGACCTGGGAGTGCTGCCCCAGGTGGTGTGGGGCCTGGACCCCAGGCTCCAGAGTCAGGCAGTCCCTTAACATGGACATTCCCAGCCCAGCCCCACTTTACTGGACCTGAACTTCAGGGCTGGGCCTGTGAACCTGGACTCTCGCTATCTCCCCAGGTGAT